ATACAAACAATCATACTCATGAATACAAATGTTTGTGCCGTGCGAGGAATCGAACCCGCGACCATCGGTTGTAAAACGGTGTGCTAGACCGCTAGACCACCGAGATCATCGAGTTATATATACATATTCAATCCAATGAGAGGGAATTCTTAAGTATATTGATAAAATCTAAGTACAGTGACCTCAGATTATGTCTGTACTATTTAAAATTCTAATTTTAACGCGTATAAATAGGAGAATAGAATCTTTGAAGTTAACTAGCGTTTGACCTAGGTAGATAAGGAAAACAATTCTTGCTTGTTGACGTACAGGATAAGAAAATAAGCCCCTAAATCTCTCTTCGGCATAATATCTATATCAGAGAAAACACATAGACTTCAAACAGATAATATTTCATATGTATTTCTTCGGCTTAATATCTATATCAGCGAAAACACATAGACTTCAAACAGATAATATTTCATATGTATTTCTTCGGCTTAATATCTATATCAGCGAAAACACATAGACTTCAAACAGATAATATTTCATATGTATTTCTTCGGCATAATATCTATATCAGCGAAAACACATAGACTTCAAACAGATAATATTTCATATGTATTTCTTCGGCTTAATATCTATATCAGTGAAAACACATAGACTTCAAACAGATAATATTTCATATGTATTTCTTCGGCATAATATCTATATCAGCGAAAACACATAGACTTCAAACAGATAATATTTCATATGTATTTCTTCGGCATAATATCTATATCAGCGAAAACACATAGACTTCAAACAGATAATATTTCATATGTATTTCTTCGGCATAATATCTATATCAGCGAAAACACATAGACTTCAAACAGATAATATTTCATATGTATTTCTTCGGCTTAATATCTATATCAGTGAAAACACATAGACTTCAAACAGATAATATTTCATATATATTTTCGAATTTGATGTTATTTTGCGGATGTCCATTTCATCACTAAATTGATTTTTATTTAAACGAACCACACGTGAATTTTTAGGTAATTTATTTGTGATGAGATTGCGTTCCGAATGAGGGGTACAATAAAAAATGTGACCATTCAAAAGCGGTTATATTACGTTTATTAATATGAATAAAATTTCTTTTTTTTAAACTTTCGTGTTTAATATACATTATTTAAATTATTAACCGGGTCTTAACACGAATAATTTTATGGCAAATAAAGGTATTTACCTCTCTCGACGTTTCGACTAGGAGAGAGGTAAATAACTTTATTTGCCATAAAATTATTCGTGTTAAGACCCGGTTAATAATTTAAATAATGAATAAAATTTCTATTATTTTATTTTATTTCGCTACTATTAGCATTTGTGAAAACACAAAAATTCAGCGCCGACTACCACGAACCACCGTTACGACTCTATTGAGTCAAATTCCAATCAAAATTCGATTATTGTGTCAAACTAGGTGATAGTGGAGTACTGAAAACAATCATGGTTTCAAGTAACTCCAGTACCATTTATATATATATAAAAACGTATTGATGTTCGTTCATATCGCTAAAACTCGACGGCTAAACCGATTTGGCTAATTTTAATCTTGAAATATTCGTGGATGTTCAGGGAAGATTTAAACGGAGATAAAATATGAAGATATTACATGTAAAATAATAAAAACAACAATCTTATTTTGCCATACAAACTCATACCTGTCAAACAGGGTGCGTTCAAAAATTTATTGCCTAACTAAACTTAAAAAACCTTTGACATACCTAATTTAGAGGTGGAACGGAGTTTGCGGGTCATCTAGCTTAGTATATTTAAATAAATAACCCTAGACAATTAACACAGCATCATCTAGTCCCACGATAAGCAGACCTTATGTTATGGGTACCAGATAACTGATTTTTTTTAAATACATGCTTAATATTTTGTAAATATATAGAAAACATAAGTATGACTGTTTGTATCGGTGTGGGTAGACCGATACAAATAGTCGAAACAAACATGTGAATACAAATATTTGCACCGTGCGAGGAATCGAACCCGGGACAATCGGAAGTAAAGCGGTGTGCTAAACCACTAGACCAACGAGGCAGTCGAATATATAATATTTCGAGAAAATATAGAATAGAAAAAATAATGTATCATTATCATTACATAGTATAAAACAAAGTCGCTGCCGCGGTCTGTCTCTATGTATGCTTAAATCTTTAAAACTACGCAACGGATTTCAGAGCGGTTTTTTCTAATAGATAGAGTGATTCCAGAGCATGATGCATATATATAATATATGTACACCCGTGCGAAGCAAGAGCGAGTAGCTAGTCAAAAATAAAAATAAGTTATAATGAAGAACCGATGGCAACATCCTGCATCATTATTATTAATATTAAAGTAATAAATTGAGAAGTTTTTAAAGTTATTTCCAAATCCTATTACGAAACGTGGATTTAATATTAACGGGAACAAATAAAGAAAGTAACTTCATAATACGTACTTTGTTATCTTCACAATGAAAATACCGACGTTCAAAACGAAAATTCAAATGAATTTTAAGATGAATTAACATAATACCTGAGAAGATAATAAATTTCTTTAACAATAAAATTATAGTCAATTTTTTCAAGGACTTCGTCCGCGTGGAAGTTTACTTTATTTTTCTAAAAGAAAAGTAGCCTAAGTTACTATTTATTACTATACATCAGCTGCCAATAAAAGTCCCGTCACAATCGGTCCAGCCATTTCAGAGATTAACCGGAAGAACAGACAGACTGTAAAAAAAGTTATTTTGGTGTTTGTATTGTAGTATTTATATATGCATGTAGTAAAAAACGGTTATTTCAATATTACAAACAGACACTACAATTTTATTTATATGTATACATTTTGTAAGATAAATTGAACATTGTTTTCTTTAAAATGTTAGTATTACAGTAATATTGGTTATACATGTTCACCTCATAACGAGGATTTTTTTGTAATTATTACATTACAATATAATAATAATCCTATATTTATGTTACTGGATCTACCCAAAGGTATTCTGGAAGGGATTACTTAGCTTTTTGTATCTTTTATATACCTACTATTACTTTCTATACCTAGTGCTCAAATAATATAAAAAAATACAAAATAATAATAACAAAGTGTTATATCAATTTTGTAAAATATTATATATTTTAGTTCCAATAAAAAAATATTACATTATTATAATTCTCGCAAAGAGTAACAGCTCTTTCCTACAAGCCATTTTTGTATTACTATTTTAAACCTATATAATATATAATATGATATATCTCAAATATATATAGGTAACTCAAAGGTGACTGACGTAGTGATCTAACAACGCACAGGCCAAACCTCTGAACGGATCGAGCTGAAATTTGGCATGCAGGTAGATGTTATGACGTAGGCATCCGCTAAGAAAGGATTTTGATAAATTCTACCCCTAAGGGGATAAATTAACGCGAGCGAAGCCGCGGGCAAAAGCTAGTATGATATATAAATAATAACCTACAATAATAACCTAAGGCTTCTCACGGGTGTACATGTATTATATATATAAACCTTCCTCTAGAATCACTCTATCTATTAAAACCGCTTCAAAATCCGTTGCGTAGTTTTAAAGATTTAACCATATAGAGGGACAGACAGCGACAGCGACTTTGTTTTATACTATGTAATGATAAACTTCGTATAACAAGAATATAAAAGCGTCCATTTTCCTGAAATTTTACAATATGCGGGATATCATCTGTCAATTTTCAAGAATATCTCAATATTATTCGAAGTCGAAATTATATCTAAACAATTTCCTTAAACGCTCTTTGTGAGTTTGAATTATAAAACATATTTCTCTATTGCTACGTTTTTTATTCTTCATAACAGAAAGTGTTCCTTAAATATAGATTTATCAAACAAAATTCAAAATTGTAAAGGATAATTCAACGAGAACATTCCAGACATAATATTTCATTTAGTACACAAGAGTTTTTGTATATATATTTGAGAAAATTAAATTATAATTAAAGAACATGATTTATCTTAAAAATGTATATATAATATGTTCTTTTGTCTACGACAATAAACACAATTAATATTATTGAATATTAATTCATATATATTAACTTACTATAAGTGTTGTATATGTTATAATGCGTTAGAAATGTCAATTAAGTCGCATTAATTTGTGCGTATTTAATGAAACTGTCTACCCTCAGCAAAAATAGGTCAGTAGGACATTGCGGAGGCAGAGGTGTGGACCTCGGATCTCAGCGGGATCGTATATCTTGTCATCCTAATAACTGGCCTATAATAAAGTATCTATTCGGTAAAAAAAAAATATTATTAAAAAAAAGTTAGTTTCAGTAACAGTTTTGTATGGGAATACTAAGATGGCACGTCTTTATCCAGCGTGTAAGCCCAGAGCGGCCGGCAGTTGCGTTGGGCATCCGTAGCGTAGTCACGTCGCCTCCGTCCGTTGCCGCCCTACATAAATCGATATTATCGTACCGCCGCATATAATATGCTTTTATAGCCACACAATAACATTACATTCCTGTTAAAAAATAAAAAACAAATTCAACGTAGCAACACCGTAACTTGTTGGATTCCACGTTTGAATACTGCCGCGTGAAAGTTCTGCGTTGTGTACAACCGATCCGATAAGTGAAAGTATCAGCTGTTACGGTCGAACAGCTGACCGTTTCATGAATAAACATCCATATGCGGTGTTTATTTTTAGTATGGCGTTTATTTTACCTGCGGTTCTCGAGTCTCGAGTAGAGATTATGGTATGGTAAATATCATAGCGGCTAGATGGCGCCTACGTGTAGTGCTCGTGCGTTGCGTGAAATATGCCGACGATCTGATTCGAAGGCCTCCATTTGCGTCGGCGCAGCGTCGCAGCGGGGGAGTTGGCAACCGGCGCGGGCGCGTCATCCGTGATGCTCAGAGAACGTCTGTTGTATACCTCGTCAGTACAACCTTGCTCTCCATGAGGACATGTCCGTATTATGGATTACCAATGCATCGTCGTGTATACAGTTATCAACATCGCGCCGCCGAAGCTCGCATCTACAGAGTTCTCAGATGGGTGCATTACATGGTTCAAAAATAAAATTAAACGGTTAGTAATATTTTATATATATTTAAAAAATATTTTTTCTGCAATTTTTAAAGTTGTAAATATTAACATTTTTTTTTCTATAAATTATCTAAACACATTTTGTTAATATGGAATATATAAAAAAAATGTTTAGATATTTTTCTAAATCAACCGTAATTTTTTTTTCTGTGCGTCTGTTATTTTCGAATCTGTATTATTAAAATATTCTTCAATTATACATAAGCCTAATTTAGCTGGTAAAAATTTTTGCATGAGTCTTTTTTAAATTTTTTTACTACGAACTGGTTATATTTAGGAAACTGCGAGTAGGTAGATTTGGTTAAATCTAATTAATACGTGACGTTGGATTGAAGACAAGCGAGTGAACCTCTTTCTGCTTCTGAAATATTCCTACTGTAAACGTCCTAAGAATATTTAACAATATTCTGTCGTTGCTATATTTAATTGCATTGGCGAATAATATTGTCATTGATTTTTTTCTATTTATGACGACTTGATTATTTTCTGTGCTCATTTTATACTATTTTCATGTTGCTACTTGATTTTAATAAGAAATAATATAATTTATTTCAATAATTAAAGTATTACGAGTTCATTTTGTGAGAGCTCTGCAAAATATGCATAATTCGACGTACCTATCACTAACACAAATATTTTAATATAAATTCATTTATTTATATCATAAATATAATAATTTCTTAGTGATAACAATCAAATAATTAAGTAGCATTAAAATTATGTTAGTATATAGATAATTCGATATATATAGATCGATAGAAAATTTATATATTGCTTTATAATAGCGAGGACATGTGAATTATCAATTACCTTCGAGAAGCTAATGGAATTATTGATTTTATGTATGAAACATTTACAGAACTACCTTTGATTATAATCGCTAATGACCATAGTCAAAATGAAAATAATATAACTCTATCGCTCTCGGTCTATATGTGCTCGGTATATTTTTGTCCCTACCGTTCAGAAAAAGAATGTCCAGAAAAGGTATGTCCAGTTGGAAATTTTGTGAAGAAAATTAACGTAATTAGTAAAAACGTGGAAAATAATTCTGGAACTGGGCTACGTTTATTTGATACAGAATAGGATCTAAGATTACCATTGAATGGTTTATATAATTAATTAGTAGGACGACTGTAATATAGATTAGTAGCCAGTGAAATGTAATTATATTATTAAGTAGTAATTTAGAAAATTAATCCTTTCAGTAGAATACAGGCTGTTGACAAAGTCAACCTTTTTGGTAGCTTGCTTATATATTTTGACGTCCTGTTTTATCAGAACGATTGTTTATGATACTTTTTTTTACTTTGAATCTGAATCTAAATACATTACACCTTACCAATTTGACGACGACTGACGTGGTCCTCGGACCTCGGTGGTCTAGCGGTCAAGCAGACCGCTTTACGACCGATGGTCGCGGGTTCGATTCCTCGCACGGCACAAACATTTGTATTCATGAGTATGATTGCTTGTATCGGTCTGGGTGTTTTCCATGTATAATATGTATGTATTTACAAAAAAAATATCTATGTATATGTATCAGTTATCTAGTACCCATAACACAAGCTTTAGCTGCCTTAACTTGGGTCTAGATGACACTGTGTGAATTGTCCTGAGATTATTATTATTATTACCAAGGAATGTGTGTCCATTAGTAACTACAGTACTCTGTCACACAAGAGATCCGTTCTATTCACTTCTTTATTAAAAATTAATATAAATAATATTAATATATGTAATATAAGGTTGCCAGTACACACAAATCTTCAGTAAAATACGAAATTTTAATTATATATTTTTTTTTTATATTCCTTCTACGGTGTAAGTAAATTAGTAATATAACGTAGATTCAGAGAAGTCATTTGTAACAAAGCCAGAAGAAGATACTGATCAGTTCTAGGGTTTGTTTGGGCTCTATAAACAGTTGGAACGTATAGAAAAGCACGATACGAGTATTACGACAACAATGTAATGAGTAATTATTATTATTCTAAGTTAGAACAAGAATAATAGAATAGTATGTCACTTATCAAACAATTTTTTTTTTATATTAAATATTGAGCGCGTTTGACCGCAATCTCACTTGATGTTAAGTGATGATGTGGTCTAAGCTGTTACACGCAAGCTCAAGTAATGCCTATTTACTCTTGACTTAAAAGACCCAATGTTGTAAGAGACAGGAAAAATAGACGCTGGTAGAGAGTTCCACTCCTTAGCTGCTTTCCAATTACAACTTTAAAAATATTGTTACCAAGTCTTTACAAAAATCGATAATTTAGGCAGTTTTTTGTCCATTTCATCAACAGAACATCAGGATACTGAAGTCGACTGACTAGTTATATCCAAAATCACATTACTAAGTTCAATCTTTACCTTGCTTCCTGATTTTAGAGATCCTAAATTAGATATAAATAACCATATGGATGTACTATAAATATTCCAAGGTTGTTTTAAACAAAATGTATTAAACCAGAAGGAATCCAGGCCAATAATTGAGCTGTAAATGTCTAAACCACTTGTACTATGCGATTCCTTCTTGAAATGCACATTTCAAGTATCAATGCAGTTACTGTGGTATTTACTACTCTATATTTACTCTACTCTTCTTAAGTGACTCTAAAGATAAGTAGTCTCAATTGTAACAGTTTTTAAACTCACAATCTTTTTATTTTGCTTGTACATGACGCATTATTTACGTCCATTAGTTGATTTCAATGTATACTATACTAATTTTTATCCGCGGTCCCGCTCGGAAAGTTATAAAAAATATTAAGTTTTTTTTAATAAAAAGTATCCTATGTTCATTCTAATACTTCTAAGAACATGTGTATAAAATTTCATTATGATCGGTTCAGTAGTTTTTGCGTGAAAGTCCAAGTGGTTCAGTAGTGTTTGTAACAAATGGGATGTTTCTACACACTAGACACTACTTTCACATTTATAATATTAATAAAAAAAAAATGTCATGTACATTCAAAAAGCTTAAATCAAGTTTACTTGATAAAAGATTTTCTATTCTATTCTATTAAGGACAAACGTGGATGGATGGAAAGTAAGAGGACGACCAAAAGATCGATTTTTTAATTATTTATTATTGTCAAAAACGTAAAAACGTATTATTTATAATTTTATGGTAATTAAGCTTGTAAGCTAAAATATAATTATATATTAAAAACATTACTGTATATGGTATCGTTAATAATGATTTTTAATAGCCTTATGTTTAAATTATTTATAATTCACAAAAGAATAAAAGAATATTATTTGTAAGCGTTACAACTTAGTCACTGTAATATAAATCTACTGTTACAATTAATATAACAATATTGGAAAGGACTCAGAACTTTTCCCGGAGCTTACAAGGCTACTATCTCATTATACAGAGAATTGCAATATTGCGATCTTTCGCAGTTTCTCATTATTTTTCTCATAGCAATATTTCATGCGCTTGCAAAATCTATTCTCCATTTACATGTAGAAAACAATTTTACCAGTTACATTATAATAGGGAACAATTTATATTGATGGTTGGTTAGTTTTATAACAATTCTATCATGCCATCAATATAAATATATATATTTATATTTCAGTTTAAGGTCAGAGTGAAACCAAAAAGCAGAACAATAATTATGGAATAGTAGTAAGACATTAGTTAAGCGTTATTTTGAAAAGGTTGAATTTTATAGTAGCACTATAAAACTCAACCTTACCCTAGTAATTTATTATATAGACCATCTACTCGCATTAATTTATAGTATTATAAGTCTCGGTCTAAATCTAAATCGAGGGGCCATCGATTTAAATAAGACCAAAACGTTCAAAAATTGCCATGGATAAAGCAAGAATTAAAATGTTCAAGGAGAGCTACAGAATGTTTTCTCGTCCGCTGAGGTCACTATTCGTGAAAATGAAACGATAGCGCGTTTTAATTTTAATGGTTATGCCATCTAGTGAGTCACAGTTACGTACGTGTTTATATCAACCCCAACTTACGCGAAATCGTTCAAATCCGGGGTATTACTGTAGGAACACGTATTTATTAATACCACAGAAAACTTGAATCGTCAATACAACTTTCTGAGGTTATCCTTCATCTATATTATTTTTCATCTAAGATATATCTACATATAACAAGCGAACCAACCCGAATTCTGTAACTGAAGAACAAAGTTTAAATAATATTTTACGGTTTAACAATATTTGTTTTAATAATAATTAATAACAATAATTAAATAATCGAGCTATTAAAAATTTAGCTCTAACCATTTATATAGACAATATAACTGTATGTTATTATTTTTGAATATATATTGAATATTTTTTTTTAGTTTAATTAAAATATATATTTTTTATAAAAACATACTTCAATGTTAGACATAGACACCTATATAAATATACATTGTTAATAAACTGGCTTAAAAAAATATTCAAAAATAATAACATACAGTTATGTATATTGTCCATATAAATGGTTAGATAATAATTTTTAATAGATCGATTTTTTATTTATTGTTATTAATTATTATTAAAACAAATATTGTTAAACCGTAAAATATTATTTAAAACTTTGTTGTTATTATTTTTGAATGTTCACTGTATATTCAAAAATAATAACATACAGTTATATCTTCTATATAAATGACTATTAATAGCTCGATTTTTTAATTATTTATTATTGTCAAAAACGGTAAAACGTATTATTTATAATTTTATAATAATTATTTAAATTTATGTTTTATAATAATAAATTTATATTATATTATAATTATAATATTTTTATGTATGTAAAATTTTTCAATCATAATTTAAGAGTTACGCTCTTGCCTTTTTCCAAGATCTTCCATCAGTCTTTTATGTAGATGTTTTATGTTGATACGACAGAATTCCAACCTTCTTCATTCCTTAACCTGCTTCATATAGCTGTATCTTGGTCTTCCCCTTCCTCTCTTTCCATCTATTTTATCTTCGATAACATTATTAACTAGCTATATCCGCAACTTCGTACGCGTGAATTTTAACTTTATTTTTAAAATAAAAGTATCCTAAGATACTCCTTATTACATCAGTTACCTGCCAAAAAAAGTACCGTTAAAATCGTCCCGCCATTTCAGAGATTAGCCGAAACAAACAGACAGACATAGAATAATTAAAAAAAATGTTATTATAGTGTATGTACCATATTTATATTCATATGCATGTAGTAAAAAACTGTTATTTCAATGTTACAAACAGATACTGCAATTTTATTTATATGTATAGATAAGTTCATAGTGCAATATGAAGTGCTCTAACGTTTTCCCCCGCCTATTCTTAATCATATATTTTATTTTAATAATCATCAGAAATTATTAATCCCAATGATACCATTATGACTGTACTGTAATCTTTACGATTTCAGGATGACAATCAAAAAGCGTGTTCATGAAATTATTTAATTGCAACTGAATTTGTATAAAAAATATATCTATTAAAAAGAGCAACACACAATTTCTTGCTCGTTCTTCTTGTAATGAATCTGCATTCCGAATGAGTGGTAGAATCAAAATATGACTATTCAAAAGTGCTTGTAATGAGTTTATTTGAATAAAGATTATTTCTATTTCAGTTGTCTAAACCTATCTTATTTGTGTAAAACTGATACATTTCAAACTTATACCCACACCGGGTAAGTTTAACTGTATCATTTTTAAATAACCAACTTAAATAATAATATAATATTAAATATAACTTCTTGATGTATCTATTATTGGCTTTACTATGTAAATCTATATATTGTGCATAAATTGTAAACAAGCTGTTGATTACCTAAAATAAATAGGTACTTGTGAATCGAGACATATTGGCGTGGTATGAATACGTCTCGATTCACAAGTACCTACACGAATACACATATAATATACATAGCATACCACAATCATTCAGTTAGGGTGACTAGTATTATTAATCGGTCTACACTGCCCACATTGTACATCACCGGTGTCTATATTCCTCTCCGATCGATCTCCCGTCCAATTCAAACGGGGATTGATATTACGACAGCCTGAGCCGAGATTCGAATCCCTAGTGATGCCCTACTAAAGTCGTATCCGTCAGGCAGGAGTTGGCCTTCAGCCGCTCCATAAGTCCTTCAGCGTGTTTGGAGTGCCATCTGCGCTCGCCCCCTAACGTCCGGTGAAGCTGTAAAGGCCAGCTGCGGCCAACAGCATTAGAGTAGTCCGAAAAAAAGTGTCTACATTGTAACCGTGCGAAACCGGGTTTGATCATTAGTTTCTTTACAATATAGTAGATGGCGTTATTTAGATGTTTTATAAATAGAATTAAAGTCAAAATTAAATTAGTCTTAAATTGATACTAGCTGTGGATTTGTAACTGCGAAAAACAGATTCGAAAATAAAACATGTTAATAATATATTCCACGTTAAATATTTTTAAATTGTTTTATTATTTTGATATTTAAATTTATTTTCATATATTATGATGAATGTACGATATTTCTATTATATTTGATACTGCATACTCTGTTGGTAGTTTTAATATAAAGTCTTCAATAGACACAAGCAATGAAGAAAACGATATAATATAACCATAAAGTAATTAAATAGTATGAAATATTCCTACTAGTAATTTGTCGATCTATGTCTAATTTTTTTACTAACATCCAAGCGGACGTAGTTGGGTCGAGTAAACATAATGAAAACCTTCTCATTTTGGTGAATAAATTTAAATACAATACAATGTTTTACTCTAAACTAATAAAATATATTGTAACACTGACCAATTCTATCAACTATTAACAAACAAATATTGTTAAACCGTAAAATATTATTTAAAACTTTGTTCTTTAGTTACAGAATTCGGGTTGGTTCGCTTGTTATATGTAGATATATCTTAGATGAAAAATAATATAGATGAAGGATAACTTCAGAAAGTTGTATTGACGATTCAAGTTTTCTGTGATATTAATAAATACGTGTTCCTACAGTAATACCCCGGATTTGAACGATTTCGCGTAAGTTGGGGTTGATATAAACACGTACGTAACTGTGACTCACTAGATGGCATAACCATTAAAATTAAAACGCGCTATCGTTTCATTTTCATGACTAGTGACCTCAGCGGACGAAAAATTGAAAATTTTAATTCTTGCTTAATCTATGACAATTTTTGAACGTTTTGGTCTTGTTTAAATCGTTGGCTTGTCGATTTAGATTTAGACCGAGACTTATAATACTATAAATTAATGCGAATAGATGGTCTATATAATAAATTACTAGGGTGAGTTTGAGTTTTATAGTGCAGCTATAAAATTCAAACTCTTTTCAATATAACGTTTAACTAATGTCTTACTACTATTCCGTTCTTATTTTTTCAGTGTGGTAGCAGTCTACTTGCAAACTCTAAAGTTGACACCCAACAATGGCATGATACACGGAAATCTAGCTTGCCTATACTACAAACAAGGCCTAATAGACTTAGCAATAGACACCTACAAACATGCCATAGAACTACAGCCCAATTTCCCAGACGCCTACTGCAATTTAGCTAATGCACTTAAAGAGAAAGGTCTTGTATCAGAAGCCGAGGAGTGTTATAATAAAGCATTACGATTATGTCCGTCGCATGTTGATACTCTAAACAATCTCGGCAACGTAAAAAGGGAACAAGGAAAAATCGAAGAGGCCACAACACTGTATATGAGAGCTTTAGAAGTGTTTCCTAATTTCGCAGCGACTCACAGTAATTTGGCGTCGCTTTTGCAACATCAAGGTTAGTAAAATATAATACTTGTATTCTTTTGTTTATGTTGAAACTTCATGGAAAATGTATTGAAATATTTATATCTAATGTATGCATTTATTTTTTGAGATTTAACACTTTTTTTAATGTAATTAATATGTGTCATAAATATTTTAGTTATGAATATTTAGAGTTTGCACCCGCCTACATGTATTATGTAAGTAAATCAATACGATACGATAGCAGTTATAAAAAAAATATTCTCGTTTGCAACCGTGAACTACTGCTAATTAGAAACAGCTAATTGTAGCCACTATTTATGTACATTTAACGACTAGCTAAAATGTTCAATGTAAACAAACATCGTAACAATGAGTAACCGTATCTGAAAATTTATAATCTAATTTCAGTTTTACAATCTTTATAATCTAACAATTACAGGGAAACTCCACGAAGCGTTGATGCATTACAGACAAGCTATAAATATTCAGCCCAAGTTCGCCGATGCTTACAGCAATATGGGAAATACTTTTAGAGAATTACAAGACATAACTGGAGCACTTGTTTGCTTTAAAAAGGCCATAGAAATAAACCCATCATTTGCTGATGCTCATTGCAATCTGGCCAGTATATACAAGGATATGGGAAATATTAGTGAAGCAATAGAGTATTATAGGAATGCATTGCGATATAAACCAGATTTTCCTGATGCGTACTGTAATCTGGTTCACTGTTTGCAAATAATATGTAATTGGCAAGATTATCATAAACGAATGTGTAATATTATAGAGATAGTAAACGACCAATTGAGAAGTGAAAAGTTAACTTCAGTACATCCACATCATTCTATACTATATCCATTAACGAATAAAGTGAGAAAAGAAATTGCCATTCGTCATGCTAATTTGTATACGGAGAAAGTTAAAATGCTAAACAATATTGTTTTTAAGTACAAATGTAAATCAGTTGATAGAATACGCATTGGGTACGTTAGTAGCGACTTTGGCAATCATCCTACATCACATTTGATGCAGTCCATTCCAGGTTTGCATGAACGATCGAAAGTAGAAGTTTATTGTTATGCTTTAAACCCAAACGATGGAACCACATTCCGTAGTAAGATAGAAAAAGAAGCAGAACATTTTGTTGATTTATCTAAAATAACTTGCAATTTTGAGGCGGCTAAAAGAATCAATAATGATGGTATACATATTTTAGTTAATTTGAATGGATACACAAAAGGTGCGAGAAACGAAATTTTTGCTCTAAAACCAGCGCCTATCCAAGTCATGTGGCTAGGTTATCCAGGTACAAGTGGCGCTGATTATATGGATTATATTATAACTGATGAAGTTTCATCCCCTATATCCTCAGTCTCTGATTTTAGTGAAAAATTTGCATATATGCCTCACACCTATTTTATTGGTGATCACAAACAAATGTTTCCACATTTGAAAAAGCAGTATAATGTTAAACTGTGTATAGACAATGAAATTGAAGTTAATAACGCCGTAATTAATTCATCTGAGAATGTTGACATTGAAAATATTTTTAGCGTAAATACATATGAAGAAATTGTACAATACGAAAGCTTAAAAGTTATAGATCAAACAAAAAGGATTATAGACATTCCAAACTATGTTATAGAAATGACAACAAATTCCAGAAGAGTTCAGGTATATTTTCTAAATGATATTTCTATTATAAGGGGTAATGTATTTAAACATTTAATACTAAATGAACATATGTTCTTTCAGGTATTAGTTAGTGGAATAGCAATAGATAATGGTATCTCAATAAATTATACAAACAAGAAGGTAGCATCAGGTGAAGAGGCGTTCAATAATATTATTTTTACATCAAGGAAACAATACGGTCTTCCAAACGATGCCATTGTTTATTGTAATTTTAATCAATTATATAAAACGGATCCATTTGTGATGGAGGCGTGGGTCCGTATTTTGAACCGAGTACCGAATAGCGTTTTATGGTTGTTGAGTTTTCCGGCTGCTGGAGAGCCGAATATACGAAATTATGCTCAAAATTTAGGTAACATGTATACTAATAATATATGTTATATCATTATTTATAATATGTATAAGGTGTAATAATTTCAAATGTGAAATTACAATTAGAGAAATCAATATTTCTTACTACGAATAACAATTTTCGTTAGTTATGTTATTCGGAAAAGCATATATGCGAATTATTACATTAAAGCAAATATAAAATCTACACGACTAATTTAAATTCTTGTGGATTATTCAATTTACTATTAATATACTTATATTTTAGGTTATAATATTTAAATCTTCGATCTGATATAAATCTATAATTTATTATTGCCTGTGATAATAATTAAAATTTTCGTATTCTTATGTCATTGCATTGGCAAACCATCTCCACATCTTGATATATAGTAACCATGAATAGCACTAAGAACTTTATTTTACCTTTTAAACATTAGACAGTAGACAAATTCGCGGATATGTCTTTTATAATTAGTAAGCCATCTCAACTTCGTCCGGAGGCATTACAAATCTTTAAATTTCTCCGATAATTCTATATCATAACACACATGTATTATACATACAAACCTTCCTCTTAAATATCTATCTATTACTGAAAACTGTATTAAAATCCGTTCCGTAATTTAAAAGATATAAGCGAACAGAGGCTACGGTGACTTCTTGTATACTATTTCAAGATAGCATACTAATTTTTTTAAATAAATTTTCATTGCAGGATTATCGCCCGATAGAATAGTGTTCTCTAGAATTGCATGTAAAGAAGAACATGTACGTAGAGGCCAGTTAGCTGATGTATGTTTGGATACACCTCTATGTAATGGTCATACAACGGCTATGGATGTCCTATGGGCTGGCACTCCAGTGGTTACACTACCAGGCGAAACCTTAGCATCTAGGTAAAATTATGTATACTTTCTAGAACATTCTCCACATCACTTGTTTTCATATTGAATTCTATCTGCTGTAAAAAATTAGCAAAACGCAAGTTTCTTGCTCGTTCTTCTTGTAATGGGAATCTTTGAGTCAGCTTTCGGAATGAGCGGTATATTAATAAAAAAAAGTTTATTAGAATAAAGGAGTTTCTATTCTTCTTTCTAATTTTTTTAACAGTAATCAACGTATTCGTTCAGTATTAGCTTAATCATTTTTTTATAATTCATTATCCAACGTAATAATAGAGTTTAGTTCAATCTTGATTGTATTTAATAAAAAACTGTACAAATCTGGATTGGGTTTAAAGCAACTTAAACTTAGTTTTGCTGATATTATCATAGATTATTAGCCAATAATTATAATAACTCTAAACTATTTCCATACACAGTTCCATCTAGTGGATACTATATATATCAGTTATTTAGTACTTACAACACAAATAGTATTTATCTAAATATACATAACTCAAAGGTGACTGACATAGTGATCTATCAACGCGCAGCCCAAACCACTGGGCGGATCAAACTGAAATTTGGCATGCAGATAGATGTTATGACGTAGGCATCCGTTAAGAAAGGATTTTGATTAATTCTACCACCTAGAGGATAAAATAGGGGATGAAAGTTTGTATGAAACTTTGTCAATTTTAAACCGATCGGGCTGAGATTTTGCATGCATAAAGCTACTATAATGTAGGCATCCCCATAGAATTTTGATATATTCCACCCCTAAGGGGATAAATTAAAGCGAGCGAAGCCGAGGGCATAAGCTAGTATATTTATATTTTTCATGCTCTGCGTACCATGTGACTAGATGGCGCTGTGTTAATTGTCCAGGGTTGTTTATTAGTAATATGAATAATTGTATTTGTAACTGGTTTGTGTGTTTATTTTCATTAATTATTTTCAGAGTGGCTGCATCTCAATTAAATACCCTTGGTTGCTCTGAGCTTATTGCCACATCTAGACAAAATTATGAAGATATTGCTATTAAACTTGGCACGAATGTGAATTAGTAAGTTTCAATAATACATCTTTTGTTTCCGAACCTGGAATTAATCCTTCAGTAGTTAAAAAATTTAAACACTATCTGCGTTCTTCGTATATCTCGCCATCTCCAAGAAATCATCTCTCCATCTCTCATCTATCTATCTCCGTCTCCAAGAAATTTGTAGCCTATGTGTTATTCGGTTGTATAAGGTATATTACTGTAAAGATTCATCAAAATCCGTTCATTAGTTTTTGCGGGATAGACTAACAAACATCCACCCATCTGTCCAGCCGTACTCATAAACTTCCGTCATTATAAAATTAGTTATTATTCAATATATTAAAATAGGTTCTTTTATCATTATTATGATGATGCATTCTTCATCATCATCATCAGCCCTGAAGACGTCTACTGGACATAAGCCTCCCCCAAAGATCTCATCACTTCATAGAAATTAAAGGAAATTTATTTGCGATAAAAGTGGTTCATATTGGATTGTACTGTTATTTAAGTTATGTAGCTTTTACTTTCAGTCTTTATAGACATGCGAGTACATATGCGAATTATTCTATTACTATGCTTTATATAATTTAATTGAATTGTTACATATTTAACGTGACGCCATCAGTAATCTGGTGCTTTCATTTACCACACTACCTTACCTTCTATATGTTCCATTGAACGATATGAACATTCCAATTTACTGTGTGAATTGTCGTAGAATATAATTTGTTATACCTACTTGAGGTAAACTGTAAAAAAGGAGTTTATGTAAACCTCATTTAAGGCCCGGCAACGCACTTGCAATTCCCCTTATATTGCAGGTGCTCATAGGCGGCGGTAATCACTTACCATTGGGTGAGGCGTTTGTCCCCTGTGCTATATAAAAAAAACTTTAGTTTATAATATACCCCCTCCGATCGATCCCCCGTCCAATTCAAATGGGGATCGAAATTACGACGGCCTGAGCCGAGGTTCGAACCCCTAATGGTGCCCTCAGACTAAAGTCGTATCCGTCAGGCAGGAGTTGGCCTTCAGCCGCTCCATAAGTCCTTCCGCGGGTTTGGAGTACCATCTGCACTCGCCCCATAACGTCCGGTGAAGCTGTAAAGGCCAGCTACGGCCAACAGCATTAGAGTACTCCGAAAAAAAAAAAAAATAAGATACAGATTAGGCAGAGAAGTTACAGGGTAAGAAGCATTACAATAATACTCTGGATTGGTAACGCCTGAATGGTATCGTGATTATCACAATCGATCTCCTGTCTGATTCAAACTGGGATTAAAATTATGACGGACTGACCCGAGGTTCGAACGTAAAGTCGTATCCATCTGGCGGGACTTGCCTTCAACCAATCCATAAGTCCTTCCGCAGATTTGTAGTACCATCTGGAGCTAGCTGTGGCCAACAGTAGTCCGAAAAAGAAATGACTGTTTCCGCTTACCATCAAGTGGTCTGCCATTTGGTTTGGCACTTCCATTTACATAAACATTATCTTTAATTTATGTAATTACTAAAATAATTGTATTTTATCTACAGCCGAAGATATATAAAAGCGAAGGTGTCAAAATCTCGCCTTGAGAGTACTCTGTACGACTGTCAACATTACACTCGGAGTTTGGAAATATTGTATGAAAAGATGTGGCACAGATACAAAAATGGAGAAAAACCAGAACACATAAAAGTTTCTTGAAACCGTAACTAAATTAATATGAATACAGTTCCGCTAAGTACCTAAACAAAATTTGTTTAGAAAGCTTATTAACTCCCCCTTTAAAAATGGAAGACTGATAAGTCTATCTGTGTACGACCTTGTATCTCCTCAACTTATTATGTATAACACATACATTCTTCTATAATTTTTGAGGATCTATTCAGGAGCTTGATGTATATCGATTGATTCTCTAGATAATATTTTTGTATTATAATTATTGTATAATTGTCCGTAGGTACATTATTATATTAAATAATAGTTTACCGCCCCGGTACTTCTCGGTGTTCATAACTTTGTTCTGTATATTTTATCACAATAAATAGACTATATCAGTCTGGAGTAATGTATAACACACTGCTTTACTTCCGATGATCGCGGGTTCGATTCATCACGATGTATTTTTGACTATAATTGTTTGTATTGCACTAAGTGTTTTCTATGTATAATATGTATTTCCAAAAAATGTATTTAAGTAATTATATCAGTCATATATCTATAAACACAAGCACTGCTTAGCTCGGGATTAGATGACGTTGTGTGAATTGTATTGTTATTATAATTATTATATTTCGACAGCCTGTGGTCTAGTGGTTTAGCATACCGCTTTACTATCCGGTGGTCGCGGGTTCGATTCCTCGCACGGTTAAACATTCTGTATTCATGAGTATAATTGTTTGTATCGGTCTGTTTTCTATGTATAATATGAATTTATTTACAAAAAAAAAATGCATCCATGTTTTTATATCAGTTGTCTAGTACCCATAACACAGGCTCTGCTTGGCTTGGGACTAGATGGCGCTGTGTGAATTGTCCTGAGATATTTTTTTTTTCTTAAATGTATGTATGGAAGGATAACTCAGGAACCATACGTTCCTGAGTTATCCTTCTCTAAAATAACTCCTCTCTGTATCTCTTTATTATTAGTATAGGTATGTAATATTATGTTATCTGTGGTATATATATTGACTGTTGAAACAATATACGTAGCTGAAATTTTGTACAAACTATTGACAACAGCTCTCCGTCCAAAGCTGTCCTTGATAAGTCCAGAATCGTAATTCCAAATAAATTTTATCCTAACGTGTGTTTTATAATTATTAAATAAGATATCATTATAAATTGTATTTAAAAATAAATTTACAATTGTCCCCACTGTTGTTAAAATAATATAAATATTTATTCTACTTTTTAATCTTTATACATTCTTTGGTAGATTAATAACTTTATCATGTATAATTATTAATGAAACTTTGAGATTATCGTTAATTTATAGTTATATTAAACACGATGGAACTATTACGGGTAATTTATTAGGAATAGTTAAAGAAAAATAAAGAATAAAAATTATACAAAAACAATATTGTTTACTTGAAAAATGATTTTATTTTTATTTTTCACTTTTTTTTTACATTATTAATAATAATCATTCGTAAGTACACAAATAACTACAGTGTATCTAATAATAATATAATATAAAACTGATTTCACGAAATACATTCTCGATAAGTTTCACAATATATTTTATTAAAATCCATAACATATTCCATTCAAATTGAAATCATATTGACTTGTTTATGATAGTCTATAATTATAAAGCGTATATGTTATGATGTTACAGACTTATATTGTTTACATTTTTTTTACGGTTTATTGTATTGCTTCCGTTGAGATATTTAGAATTCCTTTCGTCATTAGATTATTAAGGGTACTTTCACATTAATACTTTTGTCCGTCAAAGAGCACACAGTTATGACGCTTGGATAATTTTAAGGTCACATTTTCAAATCGGTTCTTTCCCAGAGTAAACATACTCGTACAATCCTATACCATATCTACAAATACATCCACCATATCATACTATTCGTGTAAATTATCTATACTGCTACAATAAACCTAATATTTGACTTTAATTTGTGTTTATTTTTAAATTAACAAATCGTCTGTAAGCGCAACATTTCTAAATTATTATGTTGTTATTACCGACAATAAATTCAATTGTTATGTTTGAGCTATTTCATTCAAGTATTTTTTTTTCTTAATACAATAAGTAAAGATAGGTGTGCTAATTTAACGATTAATATGTAATTATTAATCTGATTATATTGTGTTTATTTAATCGTTTAAAAAGAATATATATATTAATATATGTATTCATTTTAAATGATTATATATAACATTAAGAACTGCTAGATACCTGTCGAGAAACTATTGGTGTATAAGATAATATTAAGTAACGAGTAATAGTTAATTAGTTTTAAGATTCAATAGTGACAAATGTGTGTTGGTGTTAGTATAGATAGGAGAAAAATACTATTACTACGAGTATAATTACTTAGTAAAAATTGATGCAATATGACGTGAGAAAATAGATCCTTGATTGTGATATGTAGTTGCAAACAATTCTCGTTTCAACAATATATATCGACAGTTCTGCGATTACGTATATCTCATTTGGTAACAGTTTCCGTAACTACAAAATGGTATATACCTAACAGAAACTATCGATTCTGATGTGATTAGAATGAGAATTGTTATCAACTACACTACACAATGAAACGATTACAGATAGATTCATTGCAACGTTCGTTCTATGTAGTTCGCAACACTGCAGCGAAAGAATATAAAGGCGTATAGTTAACATTAATAACAAAACATACGAACTAGAATGTAGATAGGTTTACGTTTTTACAACACATTTTATTACACTACATAAACTTAAAGACTCACAAGACCGCGATCGGATCGCGAAAAGATAAATATATATTTGTAACTTAACATTTTAACATTGTTTCTATCGAACTCACACGACTCTCAAATCGGGCGCAATTCTAAGCATTGCTGAGTAGCATGCCATTTCGCTTACCAGACCGCCTCGTATATAGCGGTATTATAACCCAATACAAATTCATCAATAATATCCATGACTTTACTGTCGTGTGTACACTTGTATGTATAATAATTATTACATTGTTTAGACATTAATAACATATAAAAATGTATTACAATATCATTTATTGGTAAATAACCGTCCCGTAAATAAATTTATATAAATATTAATTATATGGCCAGTCTATTACCTAATATAATATCTGTGTATATTTTATATATCTGTTTATATTTTATATATTTCTATAAAGATAACAACTGCGGTTTGCATTACATTCAACAACGAACTTATACAAATTGACAATTCTAGTATCAGTAACTGAGAATATTGAATAAACTCAAAATTGTTGATAATATGACACAATAATCAAATAATTAACAATTTGTATTAATATTGAGAACAAAAAGACAACATTAGCGTAAAACCGGATTCTGTAGACATATAAAAGAAATATATTTATGTAAATATATTATTATTTATTTTATAATAATTTATTTATTTATATAAAATCTTATTATTTATTACTACGTATGGGCCGTTTTAAAACATGTAAGTAACTCGATCTTTTATTAACAATAGGTATTAAAATGGGATGTCTAGCGTCTAACTATGTTATAAGGGGATCTATATTATACATGTATATTATATTAATTAAGTGTTTTTTTTATTCTTATAAAATCGTACTTATACAAGGTTAGTTATATAGGATATACCAATGCGAAAGCTAACAATATTATTCACGAAACATTTTAATACTAAGTGTTCAGTTATGTGAATCAGTTTAGTATAAAAAGTTCAAATTTAATCGCACATTTCCGCTTTATTTCTTGCTGTAGATAAGTAGTTCAGTTTTATGAGTTGTATAAGAAATCTCGAAATACAATTATATCACTCACAGAACTGATTAATATAACTTTGTGAATATTTTAAAATATCATACTAAGTGTTCAGTCATTTGAACCAGTTTAGTACAGCAAGTTCAAATTTATTTGCACTTTGTGCGAGTAGCCTATCGTCCTTCTTTGTATATCCTGTATAACTAACCACGTATAATACTAAACTAAAATCTAAGCGCTCATTCTACTATATATTATTACTCAGAATATTTAATTATTGTATGTATGTTTATATATTGGTGAACATTGGTAATTATCAGCCGTTTTTTTAATGCTATTTGTTGCTATTAAAGCTAATATAAGACCATAATGCAGTATATACTTAATGCTATTGACATTGCGTGTGATATTTTATTGCTATAAGACATCTAACCCTGGCTTCATACTATTATGGCCAGTCGGACCATTGTCTTATGAGACTGTGAAGAGATATAAAGCCAAATGAGTCAATCAAATGATTGACTCATTTGACTTTATTAATCAAACGATTGACTCATTTGGCTTTATTAATCAAACGATTGACTCATTTGGCTTTATTAATCAAACGATTGACACATTTGGCTTTATACCTCGGCTGCTTCAAAAATGCTTTTTTTGACTACTCCAATGCTGTTATCCGCATGGCCTTTACAGCTTACTCGGACGATAGGGCGCGAGTGTTATGTTACTCCAAACCCACGGGAGTTATGGAGCGGCTGAAAACCAGCATGGCCTTTACAGCTTACTCGGACGATAGGGCGCGAGTGCAGATGGCACTCCAAATCCGCGGGTGGAGATATGGAGCGGCTGAAGGCAACTCCCGCCTGATACGACTTTAGTCTGGCGACATTGGAGTTCGTACCTCAGCTCAGGCTATCGTGATGTCAATCCCCCAATTGGACGGAGGATCGATCGGAGGGATTTATAATTGCGTTAATCTGAACTGAGTACACGGTCTGCTCGGCCCTTAAAGTTGTCGTCGATTATTAAACGATGATCTTGTCTAATTATAAATTATAATTAAAAATCCTAGTCGTCCATCATCGTATATGTCATGGCCGTGCGCACTCAACTGCTCTATCTGTCCTAATTACATGTCTTACTAGCTGTTCCCGCGACTTCGTCCGCGTTGATTTTATTTTTATGTTTTATTTTCTAAAATAAAAGTAGCTTATGTTACTCCTTATTACATCAGCTACCTGCCAAAAAAAGTCCCGTCAAAATCGGTCCGGCCATTTCAGAGATTAGCCGGAACAAACAGACAGACCAAAATTATAAAAAATGTTATTTTGGTATATGACCGTATATGTATTCGTATGCATGTAGTAAAAAATGGTTATTTCAATATTACAAACAGACACTCTAATTTTATTTATATTTATAGATGTATAGATAAGCGGCCAGTAAGCAGTCCTGTCAAAAAGGCTGCAACACATAAGAGACATTTGAGAATAGTCCGACTGAACCACTTAATGTGAATCCAGGTTAAGGCACCTTATTATAGTGGACTTCAATTCTATATGAATGTATATGTATCAATAATATAACAGTTAATATTAAGTCACCTTTGCTGTTTGTAAAAATATTATTATATGCATAACAAAAATATTCTATTACGTGTAACAATGAAAAAGCCTGTATGAATATAAATATATTCTTCATATAAAAGTAACTAAAATGTTCATCTATTTCATTGCAACCATCTACAACAACTGCGGACAAAATAATCCGTCGCTTAACATTATTATATATGTATATATTTCGGTGAGCATACGCATTTTACAGTGTTCTTCGACTTCCATCATCATAACCCTAATTACGGCTCTTTAGGGGATGTACTTAAGACGTGTACTTGTCTAAGATCCCTCAGAGCTACGTCCCGTACTTAGTTACTAAACACTAGGTAAATATTTTAGAATTTCGTTTCATAGACATAAAGTCCGTAGTATTTATTAACTACATTCAAACCTACTACCATCAAAACCTAAACCCTAACCTATCAATTTTGATAATTAGATAGGAATATAATAATCGCAATTAAATAAAAAGTGAGTACACAAATTACAAAGTGCCGTTATATCTGAGTGCAATTTATCATAAATATATTATGTAAATAATCTAAATTATTATAATATAGTACATTATTAGATATAATAATTCAAGACATCTAAAATTTACACTAATTTAGTTTATTACTAATAATAATAATTACGGTACTAATTTACAATAATTTTGATAAGATAGTAACTATAGATATTAGGCTATAAAAATGGTAACAGACATTCGGTTAATCGTCGTGTTTCATAAATCGATTAATATCGTTAATCGCCAATAGAATCGTTAAAATAAACGTTTCTGTTGGCGTATTAGTTTGCTGTCTCCAAACATGTCGACGGAATAATCATAGTAGTAAACACCAATCTGATGTAATTTGAATAACGTTTATATTCAGGGAATCTGATACTGAACGACTGTCTGTTACCATCCTAACACCGAAGTTCTTGAATGATAGAAACAACTGGTAAACATACACTTGTAAAACTCAGAATATAACATTTTATAGATTCTATACCATCAAGAAAAATCCTTCATTCATGTATATGATAAATTATATGCAATTGTATATTATATAATTATCTCACTATATATAAAATGTCTATGGATAATATATTTTTATTGCGTTAATACTTTTTTCTTTTTTTTGATGGTTTTGTTATTTTATTTATCGTAAAAAATTCTCTTACCGACTATATATGTATATTATTTGAATAAAGGATAATTCAAACGTCAAAAATTATACTCGTTTCTTTAACGTAAGGCATTATTTGTCAATTGCTAACAATGTTTTTAAAAATCTGTCACTAAAAAGCTAGCATTGTCTATCGGACTATAGAATTAAAACTTTTATACTCAGTTATAATATTCTTAAAATTACATCAATCCTATATCTAGTCTCGCTATTCGGTTCCACGGCAGTACTATCGGTATAGCTTTAGTTGTATTCTTCTTACCCACTCACAGATAATGTAAATTACACATTATCCTATTCTGGTGAATATTAAAGAATTCACTTTTATAAATACTTCAATAATAACACTTGTGGTCGTAGCTGATGACAGGAATCCTGCGTGTCGGATAATTGAGGGCATATTTCGGTTGTTAAAGAAGGAAATATAATTCTTTCGCAAAATCACGTGTAGTATAATGCTTTAGAATCACTTTCCCACTTTGACAACAACTGTCCAATGCTCAATATTATGCATTTCAAGTACTAGAGATTTAGTAGACAATACGAGCTAGGTAAAAAAAGCTAATTTATCTAAATCGAACTAATTTAGGAAAGCGCATTACATGGTCTACGGTGCGGCTAGACTATAAGATAGCGAATGTAGAAAATGGTCAATGAACTCTATTATTTTTGTCTACAATAATATTAAATGCAAGGGCATTAAACTGTTTTTTGTTGATAGTAATTATATAATTATTATTCTATATAGAGAATGGAAGGAAGGAAAGAAAAACTATCGAATGAAATTCTTAATTTATAAAATGTAAATGTTTATCTAGAGTTGCCAGTGTACCACGCCATGCCACAGATAAACATATTCTTATGATGTTATAGTATGAAATTAATTTTATTTGATAAATACTAATTTTTAGGTAACAATGATATTTTAGTTCTAGCTGCTATTATAAATATCAAAACGTGCAAAATCACAGATAACGGATAGTGTGGAGAAGAAAAAAGGAAATATATTGTTACGTATTTTGCGTCTTCTCGTCCAAAAACTTTTACATATTCTCTATGTGATATATTTATTGTATGTAAAATATTGTCGTATTTTGTATTATAAAATGTATTTACTTATGAAATCCTATTTCAGCCATAAATGGAAATATAAATGCGATATTACAAGTTTAGTAGTAGAAAGGAGAATCATTTATTACTTTTTTCTAATGATTTTTTTATAACTATAATCACTGACTATGTTAAAAAAATTAATTAAAGTGGTTTATATAAACTTCTGACATTATTATAGTATGTTGTCTGTTTATATGTATAATAAAAAATAACTTCTAAATTTATTAAATAAAAGAACATAAGAAATAAAGAAAAGAGTGGATTTAGCGTACGTTAGCCTCTACCTTGGGAACAAAATTAATATAACATTTGGCACAATCTCTAAGATTGTCAAAAGAAATTTATGTCAGCTATATATTATTTTATAAATGCTCTTAACAACGCTTATTATTTATAAATATTATTAATAGTTACATATAATAACAGTCACAATTTCATGCGGGAAAGATCCCGCTACATCATACATTATCTTCAGCCAGTACTCAAACGTCTGCCAGAAAAGAATTAATATTTCAGTAAAGCTAATTATTGTTATCATTTTTATTTAATTTAATTATCTTGAGCATACGTGACTTTTTTATTTTATTTAATCATATAATAAAATAATTATAAGAAAATTTCTCAAAATCCACTTTTCTACCACTAAAAAAATTATTGAGTTTTTTTGTACAACGATTACACATTATTATTTATTTTGATAAATTTTATTTCTAGTAGCGACGTATTTATATTTAATTATTAAACTATGCTGTTATATCGAATTTCGTTTTGTTCGACGAGTCTAAATTATCAATATTACTTCTAATCTACTTCCTTATGATATTATAGCTACTTTTTTTTTATTCTACCACTTACACTCTGTGGATGCTCATTTCTCTGACATCATGAACGTATAACGTATCAATTAAAAAAAAATACAAAGGCGAAATAATGTAATTATGAATCTTAATGTACTACTGTAATGATATTCTTATTATCAATAATTAAGGCATAATAGAGATGAGAAGAATGAACTGTAAGCTTTATCTCATATAAACGTTGGATATTTAATAATAAAGTTAGGAACATACATGCTGGAGGTTTAGAATTCTGACATTTCAACTTCGCGCATGCATGCCTCTAATGGATTCAATACTATGATAAATATAAAAACAAGAATAAAACCAATATATATAAAGTTTCCGAATATTTACCTGTTCCACATTCCGTAGTAGGAACTCAATTTACCAAAATGTCGATTCAGACTGTCTCACAATTATTTACAATTGTACACATTATAAAATGGGATATTTACCATAAATCTGTTTCATGAGTTCCCGATATTTCTATATTATAAGAAATGCTTAAATAAGAGAGGTAAGAAATGCTTTCTTACCTCTCATCGATGCTGGTGGCATCGGAATATCGGAATCTCAAAATTACGGCAAATGTCCTGTATATAATGCAATAGAAATGTTGATTTCAGACATCGTTATTACTACTGATAGGTCCAACTACAATATATCCATAATTATAAATAAAATAGATTCCAATGTCAAAAACTCAGCATGCGTTTGTTGATGAAAAGCGAAATTAGTCTTAGATACATTCATCAATTATTTTTACAAAATACAAACATAAAGCAACGGTATGTAAATAATAGTCCAGGGTCATTTGCAATGGTCAGCAACTACTCACGAAAAAAAATCCTAAACAATTTAGTCACAACAATAGAATTAGCAAAGTATAAACTAATCACATTTTATGTAACTAATATGAAAATTCTACAAAAGTAACGCATAACTTCAAGCAGAGTAAGTTGAGCATCAGATTGTACATTATGTATATTGTTATTCCACTCATTTTGTCACACAAATAATAATTTGAAACGTGTTCTTTCAATTTAGCTAATCGATAATGTAATTAATACGTAACCTCCAAAAAAATGTATAAAAGATACCGCTGTATATATGTATTTCAAATTCGATCCTCTTTAAGAAATAGCTACCTAGCGTCTAGCTATCATTCTGAAAGCATCTAATATTTACATCATTGGCTAAATCATCAAAAACTTGAGACATTCAAGAAAATTATCCATCTACTAGGTCGTCATTTAATAAAATCAGAATATATAAGATAATTTTATAAATTATAAAAAATATCAGTCGTTTCGTTTTCTACTTCAGACTCCAAGAAATGATTTATTAATTATTTTAAATCAATAGATTCATGTATTACACGTATGTTTCAATTATTTTTTTTAATATATACACATTTGCGATACAAAGTTAACATCTAGGTATTACGTTTAATATCTATAACACTTACAATAAACGATGCTACCGCTGGTTCGCTATTTCATCGCGCTTTTATAAATATAAAAACTAATTCAATAGTATGTATCAAATTATTATTTGAATATATTTGGTGAGAAAATAAGTGGATTCTATACAGCGCCCTCTATTTATCTTCTTCCAGAAGAACCAGATCGTCAGCCACTACGTCGGATACGTGTAGATAAATGATCCAGTACATGAGATTAAAGCAGACGAAGCAGACGGGAAATACGATGCGAGAGTATTTGTCGATGTCCGATGGAGTCATGCCGAGAAGTTTGCTTATGTCCTGAAAGTTCGAGGAAATCAAAATTGAAATGTATTCAACAATTGATATATATAGAAATTTAGTAATCGCCTTGCCTTATACTTTTTAAACAAATATTACTTACACCACATAATATATTGCGCTGCCATTAATTCGCGTAGCATTTCATTGCAGTATAAAATAAATTTGATATATGGTCTAAATCATTAAATTACATTGCTTGAAATTTACCTTTCCTGGATGTAGAATGTGTGGTGGGGGACCAGGGTTCTCATCCTCTCCTCCTCCTCGTCCACCATTTATTGTATTTTCCAGAGTTCCTCCTTTAGAATGCACTTTTGGGTCGTGGACTTTGAACCGCACTTCCTGTAATTGTTAGTTAGAAATTTCAAATCCTATACACGAGGAAAATATTTCATGGCAGTATAAGAGAAATAATGGAAGCATTTACCGAACAGCTTACCGATGGCCTACCCGGAGGACATCGTCCCAAAGTACCCATTTTAGAAAGCGTATGTGGATCTCCCACGGGGGGACAGTCGACTGGTAGCTTCTTTTCAGACGCTATTTTCTGTATTGCTACGAATCTTTGTTTCCTCATCTGTATTCTTTTGGCCATGTACCCCACAGTAGCATATTCTATAAAGAAAGAGAAGGCACTATCCCTTAATCTGTACAAATTACAATCAAATCGTGTAGATTTTTTCGCTTTGCTTTGCTATTATATTAGGATTTATATCAATTCGACGCGCTAGCGCAAGTATATATTTTTTTTCGATCTATTCTAATTCTTTAGCAGCTGACCTTTACAGCTTCACTGGACGAAAATGAGGGTGAATATAGAAAGTAGTTCAAACCGCGGAAGGATTTATTACTTTACTGACGTTTAATGGCAAAGTTCCGTACTAGCCTCGCTAGCTCGCGTATTCGTTCGGTGTAGAGGCACTACTACATTGAAATCCGCTTCATAAGACCTTCCACAAATTTGGAATTACCTATGCACTTGACCAAAATTTTCGCGCAGTGAAGCCGCAACAGTCAGATGTATTCACTAGAATTATAATATATAGAAAAAATATCATCTACTTATAAATTTCGCGTAGGCATAAATCAAATCGCTGAGCATTGTAATAGAATAAAAATGTATTACCTAATAAACTGGCGAAAACCATGACGAAACATGTACCCAAGTATACATCAATGGATTTGACATATGAAATCTTAGGTAATGCAGCATTCGTGGACGACATGAGCGTGGTCATCGTCAAAACAGTGGTGACTCCCAAAGCCACACGTGCAGGCGTGGCGTTTCGATTCAACCAAAATGACACCCATGATATAATCACAATTAAACCAGAAGGAATGTAAATTTGAATGAGGTAATAGCCCATAGAGCGAACAAATTGAATTTCACATGCCAACCTTGAGTAATTACCTGTAAATAGATTCAATATAAAATTAATGTTATTATTTATTGTAAATATTAAATACGATGACATGCTTGTTTCTGTAAATATGTCTCTGTAAACTTGTATTACTGAGATAAAAGTTAATAAAGTAAGATTTCTGTTATATGTGATTTCAAAAATCTAAGTTTCTATCAAATAATTGTTAGTTAAATTATTTGTTTTCAATTACAAGAAGTAACAATACGATACGAATATAATTATGGTTAAGAACATTACAAGAACATTATTTATAATTATCACACCACTCATTGTGTTATGTGCAATAATACAAAAGCAGGACGTGAGAAGAATCGTGGTTATTTCTGTCCAGTGTTCCACGTTGTGGTGTACATTATTATCAGTAGATAATCCCCCGCGAACCCAATTAGGTACCTGTAGTGAGAGAGATCTCCATAGCTCGCTGGCGATGTCCGAGTACTTTGAACTGCGGCAGCGACACCTCGCTCGACACACCCACAGAGTTCGGCCCCTCATTCCATTTGTATCGGATGTCTCGCATGGTGTAGCCGACTGTGCGCAGCGGACACATAAATAAAATAACCCCAGGCCCATCGCAATGGGTTTTTCACCGAAGTCACTATTCGTTCGGGGTAAGAGTGGGGGAGTCGCGAGATCAGTTCGCGCGTCTCGTCGTGCGATTGTCGTGTCGTGTTAGCGTGTGTGCTAGTGCCGCAGTAACGATCGTCTGCACACGGGCTGAGGGAGACGGGGAGACGGGGTCGGTGGCGAAGCGATGGACGGATAGTGCTAGGACTGCGGCTATTGCGATGGGTTACCTGTCGTGAGCGTAACAACAGTGGCTCGCTGCCGATGTCCGAGGACCCGAAACTGCGGCAGCTGCACCTCGTTGCTCATGCCGACGCTGGATAACCCGTCTTTCCAATGGTATCGAATGTCTCTCATTGTGTACCCGACTCCGGAGACATGCCAAACACACAAAACGCTATCACTTACGCTGCGAAGAATCGTGTATCCCCACGTGGCACGGCGGTGTCCAGGTTGGGACTCGCGGGCACGATAGGGCGAGACATAACAGTAACTGGGCAGAGCCGAGTGATTGTACCAGTGATAACTCTCGGATCGGCTCGACATGGATGATAGAAAAATATAATCTACCAAATATATCTACTGAGGTGATAAGAAGCGAAAACAAATGTATCTAATGTTTAAGCGCCAATATAAATATATAAAATAAACGTAAAGTCCACTACAAAAAGCTACGGCATACACGTGTAATTAAGACTTCAGCAAAAGAAACTTGTGATGCTAGTGCGTTCGGTCGGTGTGTAGGGTGCACAGGGTGATGGGCATAAGCAGAGCGTCGGTGCGAGGGTGTGTGGTGAGGACGCCGTGGGGCTCGTGCGGGGCGCTCCGTCTGCGGCACGGCCCTCGGTGGTTGTGCAGACCCCGCTGGCGCCACCGTCCCCGCCTCCTTGGCCCGCTCAGCTATCGCAGCGTCGATGTCTCAATATCATTTCGGTCGCTTTAATGCTCGTGAGAACAAAGGCTTACTATTATACGAGTCTGCCTTCTGCGGGTGCTGTATGCGAGAAGGCGACATTTCAACTTATGAAAACACGAGGAAATCACAGCACGTGTCGACGAGTAAGTTGTACGCTTGTGCTCACAGGGTATCCCTGAGTAGCATCTGTGATACAAGAAAGTGGTCACAACACAATATCTGTAAGCCTAGTGATAAATTTGCATTGTGGTAAATAGTCAAATCAATGATTGCTGTAGGTGAGCACAATACACACGTATATTTTAAAATACTATAACGAGATTATTTTTCTATCATCTGTTTCATTTTTCTTGATGCCTCGCATAGTCTGTTCATACATTGCAACGTTTATAAACGTCATTGCAATTGTGTACAGACTTTTAATATTTTACAAAGAACAACTTCATATTTCTATAATACATACAAAGCGTGCGTTACTTCATCACTATCAGAATTGTCGACGTATCAATTCTAAACATGTATTGTATGGTTGTTTTTAATACATATAATATTACATAAAGTGTCGTTGCTTGATAAACACAATTGTGTTGATATCCAGTATATAACATAGTCAAGATACTTACAACTCTCGATTTCTATATGACATAGTTGCCGGTCCATTGGGAAATATTGAAGATTCATCGGACACGAGGCTGTGATTGTTAATCTGTAACGCAATGATTAATATAATGGGAAAATAATAATCTGCAACTATTTTATTGACAATATTTTGTTTAAAACATTTATATATTTTAAAGATCTTTAATTTATTGTAACTACTTGTAAATTGTATAAATCCGAAGATAAAATTAAAAACAATTAGCCTATATGGTACACTAAAAATAATAAATTGTATAAAATTGTACCAAATATCTTCCTTCCACCACTGGGAATGTTAGTGGCTAACTGACATGACTTTAAGCACCACCAGGTCTTTAGCAAGACTTTTATTAAATTTACTGCTATTATTATTTTGGGAATACATTTTTAGACTTGTGTTTCTTAAAAACTTTATACATATCTTTATATAGTATAAATTGAAGTCGCTTTAAAGGATTTTAATGCAGTTCTAGCAATAGATAGAGTGATTCAAGAGGAAGGTTTATATGTATAAAACATGAACGCGGGAAGCCGTTATGGGTAGATAATAGATTTAATAAAATAAAGTCACTTCCCGTGTCTGTACGCTTAGACTTTAATGAAGTTATCAGCAATAGATATAGTGATTCAAGAGGAATGTTTATATGTACATCTAATAGCCTTGTGGGGAGCTAGGGCATCTTTTTAATATTATAACCGCGAAAGTTTGTGAGTAATAACGCATGTTTGTTACTCATTCACGCAAAAACTATTGAATGGATTTTGATGAAACTTTGCAGTAGTGTAGCTTATATATCAGAACAATATATATGCTATAAATTTCAAGCGGGCGAAGCCGTGGGTAAAGCTAGTAGTAAATACAATAACACTATTAAGTTGGCCTTTATAATTTACCTGATACTCCTAGTGATTGACCCGGAGTAATGTATACGGATAAATTCGTTGCTAGTAGTTGCTATGTGAAAATATGATTGTTTCTCATTCACAAAGAATGTATCAGGCACCCATATATTCTTTATAAACTCAGAGCCTACAGATAATGTCTCCACGCCTGTCCTTTTTTTATACGCTAGTCTGGGATCGGTCCAAAATTGTCTGAAGTAAAAATCCAGCGTAAAATCCTGAGGAATAAAAGTATGTATAAGTTTACGGCACACGGTTCAAATTAGGAAAGGTTTCTATTTATCAATTATCAACTTTAATATTTTTATTTTCATTTCTTCACATTGACAATAATTTACTTTATTCAGTGAGACATAGTTCCTACATATTTCGTCATTTACTATAAATATTAACATTTTAATTATTAATTGTTTATCGGGAACTATGTTACACAAAATTAATTAATAAAATTAGAACATTTTTACACAAATATTGAATACTATTACAAAAACAACTAACATCTGCATGCTTTCACTTAATATTTTTTCCACAACAAGTCAGTGTATACTGGGACAGGTGTGTTCAAGATACTAAATAAAACAACCTTACATCTTACAGTCCGAAGCTTGGTTCTTGTAACTTCAGATAGAAATGACACATTAGGGTATGTTATAGACATTGTACTACATCGAATAGACAATATGAGCGGTAAGCTGAAACAATTATTAATAAGGAAACAAACAAAATGTGCAGTGTATGTGGTATGAAGCCTACGGAACACGGTGATATCTAAGAATGAACAAGGTAGGTGCTCTAAGTGAAAGGAGAGAGCGGGGTGACGCGCAAGCACGGCAGGCACCCACGGCTCGATAAGGCAGTCCTGTCTCATATGAAGCTAACAAGCCGGTAAACAAGTTGCCACAGGTATACTTTGGACCAGGGTTGTGGAACAAAATGGCGTTCATTAATGAGCTCGACTCGCGGGTTTGTGAATAAGGTAACCTCCTCCCTGGGCCATGGGTCGACGTCACGTCTCATTGTGACCTTCCCAACCTTGATTTGGTTTCCACTGTGGGGTCCTTCACCCAAACATATGCCTAGCAAGCTCACTTAGACACATTGGAAAACCGAATGTTGGCCGCGCAAACTTTCTCATTTGCTCACTACAGTCTTTATAATTGAAAGTCACGATATATCGCTCGATAATTAAATTTACAACGAGATCAACTGAAGGCCAATTATATCGGTATTCCAAGTAACTGGAGAGAATAGAGTTTACGGTTATATTGGCAGTATTCCAGTAGATACACATATACGTACATACACAACAAACTACAGTATGAGTCACGATAAGAGATTGTACAGTCGTCGCAAGTCCATAGAGCATGTAACATGTTGATTGAACGTTAAATTTGAATGATTTACTAATGACCTGATATTGGCATGACTGAAATTTTGTCGATAAGCCAGTAATAATTTGGAATATAAATTAATTATAATACATTAGGATACAGAATTGATCGTTGAAATAAACAAAATGAGTGATGATGATCTGTTAGTTAGTATAACATTATTATTTAATTCTATGTATGAACAATTTTATTGTATAACGATACTCTAATGAAGTGAAATATTAAATTACATATAGTATGACCATACAAATAAAATTGTGATGAAATAAAAATATTATTAAATTGAAATGATATTATTAAATAATGTCAAATATATACGGAAACTAAATTCGAATAATGCAATTTTGACCATGACAAATATCTTTTTTTAATTACTGTATAATGAAATGAAACGAACAGATGTCATCACTAAATTTCCAAGTGGCAGCAACTTTGGAGTTACGAGTACTGCTGAACACACAACTGGATAACTTTCAAGGTTTAATGCCTTTCTTATTATTATGCTGGTGTTATATATTCTTTGACACATTGAACTTGTACACATAATAAGAAAGCAATTGGGCGGACAAAAGGGCGATCTGCTCCACCAATCGCGGGCATGCTCGCAGCCTCGTGTCTGGGGCTGCTCGGTCGTTGCGGCTGGCCGCGCGGCCGGAGCGACCGAGACAAGCGTGAACTGACAGTGGACAGTGTACCATGAGCACTTCGGAGACGGAGCTGATAGAGAGCACATACATGGTGACGCCCACCTCCACTGGCGGACCTGCAATCAAGCCCAATCGTGAGTCTAGCGCGCGCGTGGCGCCGTGAAAACCAAACCAGAGGACGGTGACGTGTCCCATTGTCCCGGCGGCGAGCGAGTTGCGCGATGGGGACGATAGGCGCGGGGTGCGTGCGGGTGACGGGCGGTTGATGTTCATGGAATACAGCTGAGGATCATGCGGCGGGCGAGCTAATGGGCCCACAGCCACTCGATGGAAACGCACGCGCACCGTACCGCGATACATCATTGCGCGCCTACGCTATACGATCGAACCGTGGACACGGGTGCTACGATGATACGGTTTAATGCTGGTGATCATACTAAAGGGCAAATCTGGCTACGTATGCGCTGTGTCTTTAATATTGTTTGGAAAGTAAGATACCATTTTCACTTCAGACAGAGAGCTGATGGAGAGCACGTACATGGTAACCCCCACTTCGACGGGTGGTCCTGAAAACGACGCAATAAAAACATGACACCAATAATATCGTTTCTCAATCTTTTGAAACTTTGCAAGGGACTCCCCACACTTGTATAAATATTTTACTTTGCAATTCAAACTAATAACTAGATGGTAAGAAAGTTCTAACTGGCGTAGTTAGATATTTGACTACTATTTCCGGCGAATAAGCATTTGAATTTGTACGTACAGTATTATATTATATTATATTGCAGAGCAAAACTAATATAACTTTATGTAGCCGCTAGTTAATGTTAGCAACATCAGAAAAGTAGGGATTGGATTTATTGACTTGAAATTTTCACGTAACTTTATTTCTAGATGACAGTATCTTTAAAAACTTTTTATTCTGTAGTTCACACGGGCAGAAAATTAATGTCAGATAAATCCGGTATCTGAATGTTCAAGCAAAATAACATAATAACCTATACATAATACGGATTTACTATATATACATATATATAGATCCTGATATATAGATAAATTCTAAATTAGACAATACCAATCTGTAGGACAAATTGGAAACTAGTTAGGGCCGATATGTTGGTATTAAGTCGGCACAACTCTATTATTAAATAGAAATAATCTTTATTCAAATAAACTTAATGTAAGCACTTTTGAATAGTCAAGTTTTGACGATCGACTTTCGAGTTCTGTCGATTCAGTTTTGACGATGACGATAGACTCATGAAGTTAGGCCGACCGTAAACTACTACTGTCATTTGTAGTAGTACCACAACCTGAACTGAAGTCCAATTGGTTGTTAGAAGAACTATATGAAAAGAACGAACAATCTCAAATGTGATTGGGTGCCATATCGTCTTATTTATTGGTACAGACTATAGATCTTGTCAGATCTATAAAATTTTGCTAATTTTATATCTACATCATTTTTAACATCTACTAATATTTACTTGGTTTTAAAACTTGAAATTCCTACGACCATTTCTTCTAGTTATGTTATTATATTAAATGTTTGAATCGATTTTACTTATGTATATATTTGGCATTTTTCTTTATCGAATTATTATTTATGTTTATAATAATATTTAAAACATTTAAAATAACAAAGCAATAATAAATTTGTTTATTTATTATATTCAAGTAAGAAATCTCATACTTTATAAAACTAAACATCATGTATATCGTACTGATGAACTATTTTTATTATTTAGGCCTATATAAATTTGAATTAATAATAATCGTGGTGAATTTTGTTTTATTTATTTAAAGTAAAATAAATAATTAATTATTTATTTTCAATACAAATTGTATTTATTTAATATTTAGGAAAAAATTAAATAAATACAATTATTATATTTATTATTTAGGCCATTACAAATTTGAATAAATGATAATCGGTACTGGTTGTTGAATTTTTTTATTTGTTTAAACTAAAATTATGAATCCGAAATTTATTTTTATTATATACAAATTGTAATTTAAACGAGTATAAAGACAGTCTGCTTTCTTACTACATTACTACAATGCTTCATTAAATTATAAGTTAGAAGCATTATAAAAATAGTTCTACTTGCAGCCTTTAGTACAGAAGTTCAGAAAAATAAATACACATTTTTAAAATCGTGCATTTCGCGTCTATTTCAATTTACACCTGTAAAACTTCATAATCTGATTTTAAACAGTTAAATACCGTTTGATCTTACAATTTCTCACTTCAAAATGTTTTTCCATTAACGTTAATAAGTCGGTAAATAGCACGTCGGAAAATTCCTGGATGCCTTTAGTAAAATATATATATAAATATAAAAGCAAAGCGTCCGTTATTACATTTTGCCTCACATTAAATATTCACAGCTCATTTTATTTTCATTTGGGCGTGAACAAAACTGATTATTGCTTAATGAAGTTCGTAATAATTTGTAAATTATACCATTATTAGTTATTACGTGGAGTACTAATGTGTAAACGATATTAATAATAACTTATAGTTACAATTGCCTCTGTAAAAAAGATTTATTAACCATTCATTTATCTTATCTTAAGATTTGTATGTAAGTAATGTAATATTTTGCAACCATTTATTTATGTTATCTTAAGATTTGTATGTAAGTAATGTAATATTTTGTAACCATTTATTTATGTTATCTTAAGATTTGTATGTAAGTAATGTAATATTTTGTAACCATTTATTTATGTTATCTTAAGATTTGTATGTAAGTAATGTAGTAGTTGTTACATACTAACCTCCATAATTGGGCCTTACTCTTTTATCATAACTTATACTAAATGAATCCAAAATGGCAGATATATTGACATCACCGAACATGCCACCCCCACCGGCACCCCTGAAAGAAAAAAAATACATGCTTGTATAATTATTTTTATATACTTATTATACATAAATACATAAATGAATAAATAATCCCAGGACAATTCACACAGCGCCATCTAGACCCAAGTTAAGCTAGTTGAAACTAGTGTTATGGGTACTAGATAACTGATACAAATAGTAGATATATGTTTTTTTCGTAAATATATACTTATAGATATAGAAAGCACTTAGACCAATACAAACAATCATTCTCATGAATACAAATGTTTGTGCCGTAGGGAACCCGCGACCATTGGAAGTAAAGCGGTGTGCTAAACCATTAGACTGAGGCCGTCAAATATTATTATACATTTTTTAAATGTAATTATTTATTTAAAAAATACACACTACAACAATGAACCTAAAACTAAAAACCTTAAAAAATATAATCATTACATAGTATAAAACAAAGTCGCTGTCGCTGTCTGTCCGTCCCTATGTATACTTAAATCTTTAAAATTACGCAATGGATTTTGCAGCGGTTTATTTAAATAGATACAGTGATTAAAAAATCGCACAGGTGTCGTGTTTACACTCCTCCGAAACGGCTTGACCGATTTTGATGAGACTTTTTATGTATATTCAATAGATGTGAGAATAGGTTTATAAGTTTACACCCCCGAGTGCTAAGAGTGGATCACCTAATAAAATTTTTCACTTTTCGATAGTTTTTTTCTTATGTAACATTATAAATTACATAGAACCTTAAATTTTCACCCTTCTATCTTTAACCCCTATTTTTTAATAACAATATTAATTTAAATGGCAAACAACGTTTGCGGGTTCAGCCAGTTGTAGTATAAAAAAAAAACAATCTTGCTAAGACGAACAAAGATGGATTGTGTGAAAGATGATATAAAAGGAGAATAAGATCGGAGATGACGGATGATAGGGATCAGTGGAAGAAGAAAACATTCCCCCAAATAATGGGATATAAACATTACCACACATGTAATACAACACATAACACTATATTAATATTTCATCCCGAATGTTAACCAGTATAACTTTCAATCTATATCCATCTCAAATCTCTATCTATCTTTATAGCAAAAACTCATTACTAAAGGTACAGCAGTTAAAGATAAATAAAACAAACGAATGAGCAATATCAAATTTATGACACAAAAATCATAAAGAAATGATATATATATATACCAACAATATGTAAAATCAAATACAACTTATAAAGAAAAAACCATTGGAGTAAGTTTAGCAGTAAAAGACAAATCAAACGAATCAGTAATCTCACAATCATAATACTAGTAAGATAAATCTCCCATGATGAAATGAAAATTCATTGTGCAAAGCTTCACTCACTGAACGATTACTTGATTTTTTATGTAAGTAATCGTTTAGTGAGTTAGAATATTTATAAACACTAGCTTTTGTCCGCGGCTTCGCTCGCGTTAAATTATCCCCTTAGGGGTGGAATTTATCAAACTACTTTCTTAGGGGATACCTACGTCATAGTAACTTTATGCATGCAAAGTCTCAGCCCGATCGGTTTAAAATTGACAAAGTTTCATACAAACTTTCATCCCCTATTTTATCCCCTTGGGGGTAGAATTAATCAAAATCCTTTCTTAGCGGATGCCTACGTCATAACATCTAACTGCATGCCAAATTTCAGCCCGATTCGTCAAGTGGTTTGAGCTGTGCGTTGATGGATCCCTATGTCAGTCACCTTTGAGTTATATATAATATATTTAGACATTGTGCAAGGCTTTATATATATATATATGTATTAACGAATGATATTAGACAGTTAGATAATAATTAAAAAAAATAATTTTCATACATGTGTCCCGATTTTGACATCGTATCCCTATATTTCAGAAGTAGCTTTTAACAGCTGTCAAATATATGTATATAGTAGTCTCGATTTATAGAACGAGACTCGCAAAAATTGTTTTATTAATGCTGACTGAGATTAATGTTCAATAAATTCACCAGAGTATATACGTTCCCTGAAAACACAACGTTAGCGCGTTTCAACTTTCACCTCACCGCCATCTAGTGAACTCCAGGTAACTATTAATAGCAGGACTTACCCCTATTTAAGCAAATTCGTAGATACACGAATTTCTTGAATAAAATTTATAAAATAAACATAATATATGATCTTATTTTTCACTTATCATTTTATTATCTCTATAGACGCAATTAAACTTTATTTATACATACGTATTTATGAACCTCTACTTACGTGAATTCGACTACCCTATCAGCTGGGTTTAGCTTACTATCAAAAGCCCAGATATTGCTATATAAATATGATATTAACGTATAAATTGAAAGTGAAATTTACTAACAAATCTTTTTCTTACAGTAGGGGACAAATACGCTTGCTCAACTTATGATAACTGGTTACGACCGCCCCTGCGACGACAGCACCTGCTACATCAGGGGAATTGCAAGTGCGTATTCTTAATCGAGTAAGTTATTATTATTAATTAGTACCACAAAAACCCTAGTCTATACATATAAATAAAATTGGAGTGTCTTTGTAATATTGAAATAACCGTGTTTTACTACATGCATATGAATATAAATACGGTACATACACTAAAATAACTTTTTTTAGAATTTTTGTCTGTCTGTCTGTTTGTTCTGGTTAATCTCTGAAATGGCTGGACCGATTTTGTCGGGACTTTTATTGGCAGGTAGCTGATGTTATAAAGAGTAACTTGGGCTACTTTTATTTTAGAAGAATTATGTTAAATTCCACGTAGACGGAGTCGCGGATGCAGCTACTCGTTAATAAAGTTTTGTTGCCTATTCCCTCTACAGATTCATCTGTCATCTGATAATAATTATTTTAATCTATTATCTATTCCTCCGAAACAACATAAATTGTATACGATAATAGATAATATAATAAGATCTGAAATATAATACTAACAACAGTAAATTTTATTAAGGCAGTAAGCATACTGCAATAGATCATCTGCAGTCTTTATGGTAATCATTGGTAATAATCATTGAAGGGATAATAATAAGTAATACTTATAAAAAAATCCTCAATCTCGTTTTAAACAATATAAGATTGTAAATTGATTTTAATTCAATTCCCGTTGCCGGCCGTTAAGTTAGGGGTCGGCAACGCGCACCTGGCTGACAAAATGTTAAACACCAGTATCATCAGATGAGAAGTATGCTTGTGTGACAAGTTTACTGACTGACATGTCGTATGTCTATGTACATATAACGAAATTGTTCCAATTTGTCTACCATTCTTTTTATATTTTATAACCTACTTTCTCTCTTTGTAAATATGTTTCCTTATTCTTCAGTGCTACCTGTGACATTTTAATATGAATTAACAGATAGTATTAAACATAAAAAAAATAATTGTTAACTGTATTTCGCAAATAGCTTTAACAGGTTTCCTCAAATATATGTTTATAGTAGTCTCGATTTAAATGACGAGACTCGCAAAAATTGTTTTTTTATGTGTCTACTATATGAGATAACTCTTCAATAAGTTCGCCAGACTACATACGTCCCCTGAAACACAACGTTAGCGCGTTTTAGCTTTTACCCCACCGCCATCTAGTGAATTCCAGGTAAGTACAAGTTTGTTTGTAATAATATTACATTTGTTTTCCCTACCGTCCTATGCAGTGTACAGATTGTGTTGAGAAGAACTGGTAAGAAACTAAACTGAATTTTTTTATGCCGGTTTAGTTACATAGCTTTAGTTACATATATAACATTAAATGAAAATTCCTATGGCCTTGTACATTTTTCATTCAAGTAATCGTTTAGTGAGTTAGCTTTTCACAATATACTTATATAACTGTGTATGAATTAACAGTTGTTTTAAATTTATTTAAAAGTAATTCTAGTATATCTTTTGTTATCTTATTGTTAAATTTTATACATCTCATAAAAGTCCCTTTGACTTTTCTAGCCGTTACTTAGGAATAACAAGTTTACATAAATCTAGAATTAATGTTTTGAATATGACGGACAAGATGCTTGTGTTTACAGAATGTTTGAATTACAGTTATGTTAAGTAGCAATGGTGAGAATATTTGCCTCTTTGAATTTCTCTGTTTAGTTACGACCAAATCGTATAACTAACGTACTATTTGTATTGGATACAAAGATTTCTATATTAATCTATAAATATAAATAAAATTAGAGTGTCTGATTGTAATATTGAAATAATTATGTTTTACATGCATATGAATATACAAATATAAATATGGTACATAGACCAAAATATTTTATTTTACAATTTTTGTCCGTCTGTGTCGGTCTGTTTGTTTCGGCTAATGTCTGAAATGGCTGAACCGATTTTAACGGGACTTTTTTTGGCAGGTCGCTGATATAATGAGTAACTTAGACTACTTTTATTTTACAAAACTTAAATTCCACGCGGACGAATTCGCGAGTACAGCTAGTATAGAACATAATTTCTCTATGTACTTATCCGTATTCATCCAATAGTTTTGTGAATTAAAGAGTAAGATATGTCCATCCTACGCCACAAACTTTTGTCTTTATAATATTAATGGAATTAATAAATGACATATATCTGTCTACAGGTAGACTCAAAGGCTATATCAAGCAAAATTCCCGGGATAATATTTATGAAATTGAACAAGTTAGAACACGAAGCGGAGTCGAGAGCTGAGAATAAATTATGAAATTTCATACTAATTCGATGACGTGACCACTCAGTTTACATGAAAGTTAGAGAATTATTTACACTTTCAGAAATTATGTGTCTGCTATTGGGGAAGTGTTAAGTGTTAAGCTCAAAAGTTTGTCGTCTGTTGACAATACCTTTGACTACCTAACTTAGCATAGCAGTCGTGGAAATATATCTCTGTGCATTTTCTACTACCTGCATCGTCTGTTAACAATGTCTCTGACTACCTAACGCAGCATAGCAGTCGTGGAAATATATCTCTGTGCATTTTCTACTACCTGCATCGTCTGTTAACAATGACTCTGACTAC